ACTTAATGTTATTAGTAAGAATCAAAAATCTTTTTTTGAGGGTTTTTTTAATAGTATTAATCATAGTTCCACTTTCTTTGGCACCTATTTCTCAAATACAAATAAGTCTTAATGAAAATTCTCCATCACAACGAATTACTTTTTCTTGTCGTGTTCAACGTGGTTCAACGACAAATCTTTCTTTAGAATGGTTTTATGCTAATAATACACTTGTACAAGTAAAAAATAAATAAATAATAATAATAAGTTCTCACATAATCATTTTCTGTATAGCCTATCAATGGTCTATCGATTGATAGTACTCAATTAACAACACATCATTTAATTGAATTAAGTTTTGATCCTATACGTCGTGAATATCATGGGAATTATACTTGTTTAGGAAAGAACTTAGGTGATAGTTCATCGACTATTGCTCATCTTATTGTTCAATGTAATAGAAAAATAAATCTTATATTCTATTATTGTTTGTTTTTTGATTGAAGATAAACCTGTATTGATTGAACCAAAGATGAACTATGTGTATAGTGTACTCAATTATCCAGGTAAAGAATTTATTTCTCTAAAAAATATTCGTATTTTACTTAGTTTTACAGTAATAATGAAATGTCGATTCGATAGTTATCCACCACCTGTTATTCAATGGATAAAATTCCTAGAAGAATATAATGATAATGAGATTATTTTAAATAATAATGATTTACAAGTAATTGATATTTCATTTGAACAAATTGAATCCACAATTTATGAAACACAATTAATAGTAAAATTTATCTTTTATTTTTATTTTTATTTTTGATCTTTTATTAAATTAGTATAAACCATTAGAAGAAGAAGATTTTCGTTTCAAATTTCAATGTCAAGCTGATAATTCTCGTATTGAAAAACATTTAATCACTCTTCGACGTGCTGAACTTCCACGAGAAGCTCGTATAACTAAAATAAAACCTAATTCTACTTCAATTGAACTCAATGTTCAACCACCAATAGAATTCGGTGGACTTCCTTTACTTAATTATATTGTTAAATATGAAGAAATTAATATTCCTAATTCCGTTAAAATAGTTTCTTTTCCAGGTAAATTAAAGAAAAGATTTAACATATTTTATTTGTTGATGAAAATCAAACTTTAGTTTTATCAAATAATTCACAATTAATTCAGATTGAATCTTTGCAAGTATCAAGTTTATATCGAATTGAAATAGCTGTTGAATCGATTGCTGGACAAAGTGTTTATTCGATACCTGTTCAAGCAAAAACATTTGATGGAAATATTCCACAATTTAATTTAACAATTATTTCATGTTTTAATAATAACTCTTATTTAATTAAATGGTTTATTGAATATGATGGTGGTTCAAATATTTCGAAAATTGAATTATTTTATGCTAAAGTAAAGATAAAATAAATCAAATGTTCATAAAAAATATTTTTTTGTTTTTTAAAAGCGTCGTAGTTTTAATAAAATTGAAAAATGGAGTAAACCAATTCTTATTGAATCACATTTAACTGAATATGAATTGAAAGAGCTTAAATCAAAAACGAATTATTTAATTATTGTTCGTTTATTTAATAAAGCTGGTTATGGTGAACGTATGATTGAAAAAACAATAGGTAAATTATTTTAAATTTATTTATTTTTTTTAGTTTTACATGATAATTTTAGAATGTAAAATGTATGATCCTCAACAAGCAAATATATGGGTTATTATAGGAATAATTGCTATTATTATTATTGGTACTATTAGTATCTTTATTATATTTATTATAAATCGAATTCTATGCGAATGTAAATCGTCATATTTTAATGATCATTCAAAAATTTAGTATCAATTAATGGTAATTTCGTAGACAAAAAAAATGAATTTTTTTCCAGATAGAATATTAACTGATAAAAACATTTAATTGTATATAGTTTATTTTTGTTACAATGTAATATAGATTCAATGATTTTAAAATCATGAATGAATTTGTTTATGCTTTATTTTTTTGCATTTTGGTAAAATCTAGTCTTGAAAGATTTTCTAAACTAAAATGTAATTTACATATTTTTAAAAATATTATTTTGTGTTGAATGTGATTGAAGATATTTGTGTCATAAATAGGAAATCGTTCAATTTCTGATAATATCTATAGATAAAGAAATAGATGAATAATCGAAAACTATGTCTTATTATCATAAAATGTTCGTATTGTGAATTAAGAAATGAAAAGAATGAAGGTGTGGGTGTGGATGTTGAGGGCTCTTCTTCTGTCACACCCATACCCTCATTCTTTCACCAGATGGAGTGAATGAAAAAAATATCACTCAGATGTTTAAATAGCTAGATACTTTTTTAAAGATTGCCACTATATAAAGAATATATTTGTTCTTTTCCATTGGCAGATGATCTCGTTGTATCAGCCTTCATTATTTTAAAAAATTTTCTTTAACTAGTAGATGACTTGAAAAACTGAAACGTCTGTTTCTCATAATTTTTTTCGGTAGTGTTGAAAAGTCATTAGCATATCATTTCTTTTTCGAATTCGATTCATGTCCATAGGCATGTACCGAACCCGAGCCTCTCGGGCTCGGGTAGGCTCGGGGCTCGGTCAGGTTCGGGGCTCGGGGCGCGGTCAGGGCTCGGGCTCGGGGCTCGGTAGGCTCGGTCACAACTCGGGGCTCGGTCAAGGCTCGGTGTCAGGTTGATGTAGAAGTGAATTTCTGACACCTGAACCCGACCGACCCCGAGCCGACCGAGCCCGAGCCTTGACCGAGCCCCGAGCCTGACCGAGCCCGAGCCTCTCGGGCTCGGTACATCCCTACATGTCCAACAATTATATAGTTAAGAAAATTTTACAAAAAACGGACACTTCTGTCGTTATTGATTTTAAATAATTAATCAAATAAAATAGTATTCGATGATTTCTTATTCAGTAAACTATTATAAATTACATAAGTTGAGATAATATTATGCAAGTTGTTTCATTACCGTTAATGCTTGTTTTATTCAATTGTTGCCGTCATATGTTATTGCACAACATGCAAATGTTTTCATTTTATATGTCTTCTATGTAATATTACTGATGGAGTCGGCTCATGTCGAGTCAGTTACTTTGTACTAAATAATTCCATGAAGAGAACTATTTATCGGTGTTTTATAATACCTAAAAAATACCAAAAACAAAATTTATTTTCAGGTGAAAACTTAAATATACTTCGAAATATTTGTGAACCTTTTCACGGTTCACAGCTATTATGCCATACCATCAGGCGCTCAAATTAAGCTGCTTGAGCAACCCGACTCTATTTTTCTTAAAATAACGTTTTCAACTTCTGACATATATTTTTTTTTCGGATCTGGATCTACTCAAACTAGCTTGCAAAACGAAAAACGTAAGAAACAAGTCTAATAAGACGGTATGGGTGCAATGACTACATAGTCGTCATGAGAAATATTGACATTACATTCATGATCGAAAAATTTCGGCATACTTTATCATAATTAATCTCGTAAAATTCGGTTGATATCTATATAATTAGATCTATATTGAACTTTTCTAACTTTTGTATTTTAATTTCAATAAAAAACCTGTCGATTTTATTACATATCAAAGTGTAAAATTTCTTTAATTAATAAACCATTTTCGAAAAAAACTGGCAGAGACGGATTAGTTATACGAAAGAAATTAAATGATGATAGCGACAAATGATATGATAAAAGTAAATATAAATTATTGTCAATTGTTATATAAATCTCGATGGAACTCAACAAAAATAGACTAATATGTTTAATGAATGAAAAGTACTGGGGAAAGAATGATCATATTTATTATTCATCTTTCAAGCTAGATGTTCAATTTCGTATATCTGCATATAACTCCGAACTCGTTATTCGTATATTTGACACTCGGTTTCATATGGATAATGATTTTTGCCTTCTTCTTCGCATAGAATAGTGGCAGAAAATCCCGGTAATTCAAATCTTTCGCTTCGAATATTTTCGATAATACATTCTCGGCCTCATTTGAATTTTGCGCCTTCTATCAACGTCACACAAACATTTTGATTTTTTTTCACATGACTTTTTTTTGTTCTACAGTTTTCTTTTTCTTCGTACAAACATAAGTATTCGAGACATTTCAGATCAAATCATACTATTTATCGTCTTCATATGTTCCTGATTGTCAAATCCCTTGATTAAATTCATCGAAGTTATAGTTCATCGTCATTTTCGTATTTTCTGATCGGATCATCAGTTCGTTAAATATATCGATATCGTTTGTAACATTTTTTTAAAGAGCTTTCGATTTGTTACGCGTCTTTCTCTTCTCAATTTTTTTTCGTGTTGTTTCTTGCTCGTGTCTCTGTCGAATGTGTGTGGACACACATTTATGTTGGTGGGAAACTCCCAGTTAGAGAAGAAACGAAAAATACGGCATTTCTGTGGGTTGAAATATGCGCTTTTAACGCGACAAAAAAAGAATTTTTTTAAAAGCAAAATAGTGGAGACACCCTTTGTTGTTAGCAACTCGACTTTTTCTACAACAAAAGAGTAATTCTTCAAGTGTAAAAAGTGCATATTTTGACGCATAGAAATGCTGTATTTTTCTTTTCTTGCCTGCTCGGGAAGGTGCTACAGTCATATCTTCATATGCCTTCACATATTCTTTCACATCATATTTTGTTTTTCGTTATTCACATTTTTTGCTTCTTTTTCTTTCTCTTTGATGTTTTTGTTCTTCATTCGAATACGATACAACGTCAAAGAGAGGGTCCTGTCATACATAGACTGAAATTTCGATAAAGCAACTATAACTCGAAAATAGTGGTCTATTAGCCCTCATCTTTTTAGGCTTTTACTAGTCTCACCAGGGTCTACTTATGCACAAAGTATCAGCTCAAAAGCGATGTATAAGCTGGTGACTCTTTCTCGTTAGCTATTTTATTTTCTTTCTAGATCTGCAACTATCTTTTTCGTCGAAATATAACTTGTCTATTCATTTGAAAATTTTATTTTATGGCTATTGAATCTGAAAAACAACTGTCATCAGTAGATTCAACAATTGTTCGTATTGTTGATGATATAAAAAAAAGTGATAGTGACTCATGGAATTATCGTGGATTAGAACTTTCAAATGAGATGCTTGTTGTATTGATAAGTCATCCAAATATTGACAAAGCAGCTGCTGCACTTGATGTTTCAGTCGGTAATTTAGCTGATTCAAGAGATGTTCCTGGTATTGCTCATTTTCTTGAACATATGCTTTTTATGGGTAGTTCGAAAGTAAATTTTTATTTATATTTCTTAATAATGAAAATAATCATATGAAATATTTATAGTATCCAGGTGAAAATGAATATTCAAAACTAATAGAAGGAAATGGTGGCTATTCCAATGCACGTACTAGTGATGATCATACAAATTATTATTTTAATATTAATCCAAGTTTATTACCCGAAGCACTAGATGTGTAAGTTTTATTAATATTTTCGTTATTTAATCAAATTAGACTTACCTGTTTTAGTTTTGCACAATTTTTTATTTCACCACTTTTTTCTGCATCATCTATCGATCGAGAAATAGAAGCAGTTAATTCTGAATACGAAGGATATTTATCTAAAGATGGATGGCGTGTTTCACAACTAGAAAAATCGACATCAGATCCACAACATCCCTATTCAGGATTTGTAATTGGTAATAGTGAATCATTAAGAACAACACCTAGACAACGTGGCATTGATATTCGACAAGTACTTTTGGATTTTCATAAAGCTGAATATTCATCAAATCGAATGAGTTTAGCTGTACTTGGCAATCGTATGTGATTAATTTATTAAAAATAAAATAAATATCAAATTAATTATTTAGAATCACTCGATGAACTTCAATCACTTGTCATGAAAAGTTTTAATGATGTTCCAAATAAAAAATTAAAACCAGCTAAATATCCTTCGGATCCATATGGTGAAAGTAAACGAAAAGTTAGTTTTTATTCTAATAGATTTTCAAAATTTCTTTTTTTATTTAATATTTTTTTTCTTTAAGACAATTTGTTATGTTGTTCCTGTTAAATCAACTGATTATTTAACAATAAAGTGGGTTATACCTGATCATAAAGATTTATATTATTGTAATGTAAGTATGAAACAGTTTATTATTTTATTTTAATCATCATATATTGAAGAATATCTCGATTTCATTTAGCCTGTATCATACCTTTCACACTTGATTGGACATGAAGGTGATGGTTCATTATTGTCATATTTAAAAAAGTTGGGCCTTGCTAATAAACCGGTAGCTAGAGAATATTGTTCATTTAGTTTTAATTTTTTCACTATCAGTTTAGTATTAACAATCAAAGGATTACGTAAAATAAAACCGATAGCTTTATTTAATAAATGAAAAAAAACTTTTTCTTTGAAATTAGGTCGATGGGAAGAAGTTATTTATATTATTTATCAATATATGGCTATGTTAAGAAAAGAAGGACCAAACGAATGGATTTTTAATGAATGCAAAGTAATATAATGTTAATCAAAAAATACATATGTTGTACTTTTGTTTTGTATTTAGAATTTAGAAGCAATGTATTTTCAATTTCGTGAAAAAGAACCAGCAAATGATTTTGTCTCAAATTTAGCGAGTCGAATGAGGGTACGTCGAACCAATTGATAATCAATTTGTTTCTTTTCTGGCTTTTGATTTACTTTAAAGATCTTATGAGAAGAATTCCATCAGTGTTGATATAAATATAAAGACTTGAAATCTAATTTATGTACTATAAATATCAGCGAGTCTCATTTTATTTTAACAAGAAAATCAATAGAAAAACACTTTTTTGCATTGTTTGGAATTCGAAGATTCAAAATCATCATCTAAACAGTTCACTTCATTGTATGAGCTCGCGCACTCTTTTGCATCAGTTTGTTCAAATTACATGTGATCCATTCTAAAAGTTCGATCGCTTTCGTATATAAAAGGATAGAGACATAAGAATAAACAGCAAAAGGGTAGAAATTTCGTTCTCTTATCGTTCATACACTATCCATAATATATCAAAGAACGAGAAACTAACGTGAGAAATCCTTCACATGATAGTCAGAATAATTAACTGTGTGATGACATAAAGAAAACAATGATGAATATTTGGTATAAGATAATAAAAAGGTCACTAAGAGCATTTATTGAAAGTTAACTTTCCGCAGATGTGTATTTTTCGAAGAAATTTTTTAAGAAAACTAAATCGCGACAAATATGTTAGTCGTATTAGTAACTAATCAGTTTGTTGAATCAAGTGACAGAAAATGTTTCGACAAGTACTTCTCTTCTGTTTTTGCTGACATATTTTCTTTGGAAAATATTATCTTACAATTATTTATAACTACATAGATTGTTAAAATTTGTTTTTAAAGTAAAAAATAAAACGAATCTTCTCCTTTCATTTAGTTAGAATTTACTCGAATGTTCTGAGAAGAGAAAAACTGCTTTGCCAAACGTACTAATCTGAATAAATATTTTTGTGATATTTTCTTTTTCAGAATTATCCATTAACTGGATGTCTTTCTGGAGATTATGAAATGCGTGAATTTCGTCCAGATTTAATAATTGAAGAACTTAATGAATATTTAATTCCAAGTAAAATGCGGTAAATAAAGAAAAATATTTTAATTGAATAAAATTATTTCAAATTTTATTTAAGAGTATTTCTTCAAAGTAAAAAATTTACTTCGATTGCAACAGAAAAAGAAAAATGGTTTGGTACACAATATAAACAAGAATATTTACCTGAAGAACTTATTAAACGTTGTGAAACATGTGAACTTATTCCTGAACTTCATTTACCAATACCAAATAAATTTATTCCAACTGATTTTCATTTATTTTCAAAAGAACAACATTCCGCACGACCACAATTACCAATAAAAATAAAAGTAAAATAAAAATATAGTTTTGAAATATTTATTTTTTTTGTATTAAAGGAAAATGAATTTTGTCGACTTTTTTATGGTGAAGATACATTTTATAGATTACCTAAAGCATATCTTTATTTTGAATTACGAAAGTAAGATTGAAATTTATTATTTTATTTAAAAGTTAAATTTTGTGTCTTCAGTTCGTTAGGATGTGCAGATCCATTACATTCTAGTATGAATGCACTTTATGTTGGATTAGTTAAAGATTCTTTAACTGAGATTGTTTATCCAGCCCAACTTGGTGGATTACATTATGAATTATCTTCTTTAGATTATGGTATACAGGTAAATCAATATTAATTTCTAGTAGGAAACAAAAAAAAAGACATAAATATTCATTCTTAAGTTAACTGTATATGGATTTAATCATAAAATTAAACAATTACTTGAAACGATTATTGATTGTATGGTTAATATTAAAGTTGATCCTCAACGATTTGAAATATTAAAAGAAAAAGTAATTGAATTAATAATTTATTAAAATTTATTGAAATATTTCTTTTGTTAGCTTAAAGCATCGTTAAAATCTTTTCCTGAGCGTGATCCTTGGGAAATGGCACATTATGGTCTTAAATATTTAACAGCTGAACATCAATGGAATTATGGTGAATTACTTAGTTGTATTGATAGTATGGTTAAAAACAAAAAATACAATAAGAATAAAAAAGTTTTCTTTACTTTTTAAAGATATCACAGTACATAATCTAGATTCATTTATAACACAGATGTTAACTCGTTTTTTTACGGATTCATTAATGTATGGAAATTTAACAGAAGATGTAAGTAGAAACTGAGACTAATATCGATTTATTCAAATATTCAATTATTTTTACGCAAAACTATAGATCAAGACATGATATCAAACTCATCTATCTCTGGGAGATTTACCGATGATAAATATACGAAACTTGTTTTCGTGAAAGAAATTAGTTATCAATTAGATCATAACCTTGAGTTTTAATTCTTCCAATTAATTGTCATAGAAGAAGCTTATATATGTTCTTTATTTAACTTTCATTTTAAATTTTCTTTCTAGCATGCACTTGAATATATGAATTTATTTGTACAAAAATTTCAAGAAAAACGTTTTCATCAACCACTTTTTCCTAGTATGTGGTTTAACGAACGTGAATTAACACTACCAGAAGGTTAGTTTTATATAGTTGATTTTGTAAACATATTATTTACTTTTATTATTAAGTTGTAATTATGCATATAAAATGCTTAAGGATGGTCATAAATTACATGCTATTGAAATATATTTACAATGTTTTCAACAAACACTTAAAAATAATGCTTTACTTGACTTATTTTGTCATTTTGTTCATGAACGTTGTTTTGATCAATTAAGAACAAAAGAACAATTAGGTTATTTTATTTATTCTGGTGCACATCGTTCACGTGGTGAACAAGGTTTTGTAGTTATTGTACAATCGCCTAAAAATCTTGATCATGTTAATCAACGTATTGAATTATTTATTGATTCGATGAGAGTACGTAGAATCTAAATAATGAAAAATATTCTAAATATCATACAGGAGAAGTTCACAAAATAAACTACGACAAAGTCACACTTCTGTAATATTTTTTATGGTTTGTATCTTATTACATATTGTATTAATACATGTTTCATGATCTGAACCATTTATAAATATGTGTGATGTCTAAAAAAGAACAAAATCTTTTTATTCATAAAATGAATTATTTCAGAATGGTTTGATTAAACAAATGAATGTTGTTTGTCTTTGGTCGCCTAAAATAGACGTAGTTTTGATTAATTTGGTTGACAATATAACTTGCTAATGAATACTTTTAGGTCTACTTTTGTATGAAATCTAATATAACTGGATTTAGATCGGATTGCCTTTTAACCAATATTTAATACTTTTTTTATGCTAATTGTCGGACACAAAAGAAATCAATATTTATTGGTTACGCTCCGAATATAAGTTAATATCAACCTTTTGTTATATTTCTTCCTAATGTGATATTATTAAGGATAATTTTATTCCGATGTTTTTATATTTGACAATTGAATTGATTTTCAAAAAGAAATTACTTAAAGAAAGTTACATAGAATCTTTTATTTTAATAGGATTATATTTCGAATATGCCTGATCATGTATTTAAAAAACAGCGTGAAGGTTATGTGGTAAAAAAAGTCGAAATTCCAAAGGGAATGTATGATCAAGTACATAAATTTTGGAGTGAAATATGGCATCATCAATTTTGTTTCGATCGACGTAAGTTATAAAAACAAATTTATTTATTTTTTCAAAAAATATCAACAAATTTTATTTAGCTCAACTTGAAGTTGAAATAATAAAATCTTTGGAACGTACTGATTTAGTTCAGTTTTATGATCATTATATATCATTAAATTCTATTCACCGTCGTAAATTATCTGTTCATGTTAATTCATCTGCAACAGCATTACAAGGAATAGATGATGAAGAACCTATCATTGACGAAGAAACTGAATTAGCAGCTGTTCTTGATGAAGAATTACCTTCGCCTACTGATGAAGAAAATACTGAAACAATAATTGAAGGAGCTGTTGAACATACAGTTAAATTAACTGAACAATCGCCTATTGTTGATACAATAACTGATAAAGATTCTAAAGAAAAAGAAAAAATTATACCTGAAAAACAAATTAATTTACCAAAAGTAAATCAGTTATTAATTAATACTTGTTGACATATTTATTTGTTTCTAGGAAGAATGGATTGACAATGTTCATGTATGGAAAAGTAAATTGTCATGTTATTCACTTGCTCAACCGCATGAAGAAATTAAAATACCAGTTCTCTACAAATTATAAACAGAACTTTTGTAATCATCATATTTCTTTTTAAGATCTTACGTTACCTCTAAATATTTATTCGTCTAATCAAGATTTACCATATAAAATAAATATTATTCGTAAATCATTTATATAATTGATTTGATTATTTTTAATAAAAAACCAGAGAATATCGGAAGATAATTCTTAAAGTTCATATTGATATAATTCAAGAATAAACTGTTCAATAATATTATTTGTTTTTCGATCGATTAATTGATTATTTTCGATCTTTAAATCATTTAGATGAATTATTAGACATTGTTGAGAAGATTTTTTTATCCAATATTGTTTAAATAAATGGGTGGGTGTGGGTGTGGGTATGGGACTGTGACTGTGGGTATGGGTGTAAGAGCATTAGTGTTAAAGCACCCACACCCTCAAGATTTATAGGGTATTTCGTAAAATGCTTATAAAACACCGAGGACTCAATATCTTTTTGAGGCGGCTTGCGCTAAAAAGCTCAGAATACTACCCTCTACAACATATCTTAAAATGAATAAAATCAGACAACTTCGCTTGAACACGTAATGTGTATTTTGATCGTGGCTTACATGGAATGGCTCATATACAATTTGCTCTTGAATGTATCACAGCGTAAAATTCTATGTTTTGTGCTTTTTTTCACCTAGTATGAATTGTCTTATTGATCGTTGCATATCAATGGCAGATTTAGAGCGTGGCGATCGCTTCCATTCGGAAATCTTTCTGTCGACGTTTCTGAGCAAAAAAAGGCTAAAAGAATGAGCTGATATTGTTCCAAACTAGGTTCAAGATATGCTTTTTGATAACTCTTAGATCTGTCTCTGCCTCACAGTTTGAGTTCAATTAACATTTAGTGAAGCAATAAAAGAAGATTACACCAAAAATCAAAGAAATATTGCTTTGTTGTATTGGTTACATATTTCTTCGCGTTACAACAGAAAAAAAATGATTAAAATAGATGGGACGAAAAGAATAATTTTTTTCAATTTGCGCGTTTATGTTCAAAAAAATAGTCTTTATAGTGAATCAATGGAGATCATCATAATGAGGCTTGTTTTATGAACCAGATGAGCCCGATCGTGATGAATGTCTTCCGTGTTTTTTGCCATGTTTCTCGTGTTTATGGTGGCCATGTCCACGCCCACGCCCACGTCCATGTCCACGTCCACAACCCCTGTCAGGTGAACCTCGGCTATCGTTTCTGTCACTGTCGCGCTTTTTATTTTTCTTTTGCTTATCATCGTCATCACTATCACGGTTTTTATCCTTCTTTCGCCCCTTGT